AGAGGATGATGAAGACATTAAGCCTTGAATTTATTTCCAGGTGTTTTCACCTCAACATCTAGTTGCTGTAGAAATCCTGGATTTTGTTTCAATTTTTAATGTTATTGATGGAAATGTGAACTGCATGTATTTTCCCAGCTTCCCCATCACTCTTCCTTTATATTAACAGTGCAGGTCTAAAAATACATTAGATTCCAGTCACCTTATCATAACATTCGAGGTTCCAATTTAAAATTTTTGTATCACTTGTATGCAAAGGTATCGTGAAATTAATTGATGAGAGGGAAAAAATTAACCCCATTTGCTTGGAGAAACAGGAGTAATATATATTGCTGTTAAAATCAAAGAAAGCGTTGCACAAATATTCTACCATACCTTCCCCAAGCTCTTGTTCTTGACAGAAAAATCAAAAGCCACGAAAATGATAAATAGAAAATTGCATTTCGACCAAAGTCTATTGATACCTATGAATATATTATTATATGATAACTTAGATGCAGAATTGTAGATGAAGATCTTTGTCTCAAGCCACCACAAAAGCACTTGAAGCGCCTGTAAAATGATTGATTGACCCCAGAAGACTCTTTGCAGAACCAAAATGCCTTATTCTGTATACACCTGAAGCAACTGTTCCAGGTATTTTCCATTCTATGGTTGCATGACTTTGAGGACTAAGTTTAGCAGGTCTCGACCAAATAAACCGGAGGCAAAAATCATCATCATCATAAGCAGGAACCCACGAATCCTTCCCTTGAAGAATCTCCACGAGAGCGAATGTACCTTCAGTCATGAGGTCATTTCTTGGGTTCGCTGACCAGAAAACAACTGTTACATTGTCACCATTCTTGAAGGTCGAGTTCTTGGGTACATCAGCGCTAACGTCACCAAAGTTTACACCCGGAGGAGTTGCATCCACCACGACTGGTGTTAGTAAGCTTATTTGCTTGTCTAGCAGATCTGGGGGTTGGGGACCCGACTGCGTGGGTTGTCCACTGATAAGGGCCGCTGCAAGCTTCTTGAATTCCTGAATGTAGGCACCGAGAGTATATGGACCAAATAGTGTTGAGGCACCCTGTAAAGGACGAAAACACTAGGTGAGAAATTTATCTAGGTGAATTTTTATGACTCATTAGGAGGAACCGATTTTAGTTCTCTCCAAAATGTAACAAATTTTCATTTTCTTCATATCCATTCCCATTGCAAATAGGATAATAGCTAGCTCCTGTATACTAGAGGAAAACCTCCAATTCTTGCACATATATAGTTGCCAGTTTTAATAGACCTCAGATAATTTTCAAATGTGTTCATAGAGTTAGTTTTTCTAGTTTCCAGGGTCAATACTTCTCGACATTACAGCAATGGTTGTCGACTAGCTTTTGAAGTTGTTCATTTCATTCTGTAAATTTTGAACCATGTGCTGTTTACTGTCTTCTTATTATGATCAAGTCACTGACCTCGTATCTTTGCATCTGGTACTCCTCGAAGGTTGTTACATATTGGGAGTATGTATTTGTCAGGCCCGCTATTACTACATGAACATTTGCATCAAATTCTTTGCTACTTCCACCTGTAAGCACTGTTTTCACGGCATCTCGGAGCCGTCTTCCAGACATTGTTGTGAATTCTGTC